TCTCTCTCTCTCTCTCTCTCTCTCTCTCTCTGTCTCTCTCTTTCTCTCTCTCTGTTCTGTTCCATTCCGTTCTTTCTCTATTGTTCTGTTTATGTATTGTCATCTTGTCCTGTTTAGCGCTGAGTTCTTAGCTATTATTACTACGATTATCCTGATATATAACGTAACCGGTCATAAACCAAGTAATAGTATGTTTGAGAATCGTGTCATTTTTTACGTAACAATATCCTGTCTGGTCTTGTGTTGTTTTTTGTGTTGCCAGGCTTGCACTTTTTTATGTACGTTGTGTATTTCATAAGCCCTTGTCGAATTTGTCTCTAGTGACTTTTTGCCCCCTAGCATCTTATACACGAACGCTGACTTTATTGCGCGCCTCTTGCGTCAAAAACATATATATTCTTGCGTTCCATTTTTTTGTTCAATTGTTCCTTTCCGTCGTTTGTCGATTATTAACCTAATAATATAAAATATACATCATCATATAACATTTATATTTATATTCATAATAGATATTTGTACACAAGCGGTGGAAGAGATCTGATAATCGTGGTATATAAAATAAAATCAAATGTAAAACGATGACGATGAAAATGAGAATGAGGAAAAAAAAAAAAAAAAAAAAAAAACAAGTTATAATGTATTGTTCCGAATCGACGGATCGGCAATAATTACGAAATCGGAACCGTTCAATACACAGCTTTATGATACATGATACGATATGATACGAAGGACCTGAACGACCAATCCCTCCCTTGTCCCTTGTCTACGTCTGTTATCACCTGTCTACAATGTGCCAATAACCCCGTTACACCAAAGCCCTGTGTCTGTCTTTAACCGATCCGTGCTATCTAACCCACCGAAAGTTATAATCTCATAACAGAACACGACAGAAACCCTCTTTTGGAGAAAAATCGATTCGTCCTTATCCGTCCGTGGTTCATGCTAAAGCCAGTAATAATTTCTCATAAATCAGAAGACTGCAAAAGATTTCTTTTCAATTTAATATTGGTGGATTAATTTCGTGAGTTAAATTTTTGAAAAGAGAAAGAAAATGAAAGAAAAAAAAGAGAAAATGAAATCATTTCTGATTTAAATTGTTCATTCATTATTATATTCTTGAACAGGAAACGAACGAAGTATCTAAAATAAATAATAAAGGAAAAAAAAGTTTTCCAAAATAATGAGAAGATGAAAAAAGAGAAGGCAGAAAAGAGGAAAGTCGTTTGATACGTTTGAATGTCGCGCGCGCGGGAGGAAAAGAAATATGGCGCGATAAAATAGAAAATAAACATCGTATCGCTGACAGAGCAATAAGAATGAAAAAAATCCAAGTAAAGAGAGACAGAATTCGGCATTGCGTCGCTGTATCGCGCTGATCTTTCTGTCGCGAGACCGTCCATATTTTTATTTTTTTTTTTTCTTTACTATTTTTCTTTGTTTTTCCGTTATTCAGTCTTGCATACGCGCTCGCCACCAGATGTCGGTGTGTTCGAGATTGATCTACATATATATATATATATATATAGATAAAAAATATATATATATATCCATTTCTCTCTTCTTTTCGATTTATTTTTTCAATTCGATTCGAATTGTTTTACGTTTCCTTTTATATACGATTCACTATGATTTCAGATTCTTTTTTTCTTTGTTTTCTTTTTTTTTTTTTTTTTTTTTTTTTTTTTTTTACCAGTAGTGACGACTGTGCCTGCCACCTTGCTATGCTCGTACTTGGAGGATCAGCACCCAGGTAATGTTTGATCCCCAAGTCGCCGAAGGAACGAGAACGGTGGCATGGTGCGCGTAGCCGGAATTATACACGGCTTTGATCGTTCTCCAGAACGACGACACGATCGTTTGTCCATTGGATATCGTCTGACTTTTAATTCTCATGGGGGAATATATGGATCCTCCAAGAACGAATCATGACCCCATACGCAATTCCTTAGGGACAAATGAATATATATATATATATACAAATATCAAATGCATCTATGCAGCTTGTTGTATGTGTTCTACCATACTTTGATATTTGATATTTGCTAAAATGATAAAGGAAAAATGTTTTTTTATTATGTAAGAATAATTTGAAATATGTATAACTTTGAATTATAACTCTGTTTCCTAATTTATTAGAACTTATTTCTTAATTAAGAAACTGACAAATATAGATATAAATATTTCAATATCTTTATGGTTTTATTCTATATATATAAAAAAGAATCTTTTCAGATGTGGAAATTTTATTAAATATATGATATTAGATATATTCGTTTCTTTATTTTCTTAATATTCTATAGATATAAGCAATATATTTTAAAAATAATTAAACACTGACGTTATGATATGATACACGATTTATATTTGTTATCGAATTTCAGGGAATATTTTTTATACTGTTTCTCGACAGCTATGCTTTATAAATCTTGTTTGTTGCGAGTAAATTGAACATGTCAAATATTAAGTTAGGTTGGCACATGGAACGCCGCGAATTTTTGAATTCATTTCAACTTTTAAATTATAATTCATATTGTTCAAATATAATTTGCAAAATAATATGTTTTCTCAATCTTTTATTTAAATTTTTATTTTCAACAAGTATATATAAGAAGATAATTAAAAATCAATATTTTCATATACAATATCTTTATTTGTAAACATATAATCCATTAAGCGGTATCTGATATAACAAGCTGCGTACATATGCTTGATACACGGCATATTTTCTATATATTATATTATTATTATCATCATCATCATTATTATTGTTATTATCTTACCTACCTACATCAATCTCATTATATTCAGCACTATACACAAATCGCTTAAAATATTCAGCTTCAACATACTCCAACTTTTATATACCGCAGATAATCCAAGCCCTAAAACTTATTACGTATAAATTTTTCATTGCCTTTATTAAGTATCTATTTATACATGATTATATATGCATGCAGTTCTATTTTCACGAAAATTTACCACCCACCTTTTATTTATTTATTATTATTATTACCTGCCTCAGGACGATCGTGTTCTTTTTTGCTCCCGAATTGACAATCTGCTCGATACTTTACAAAAAAATCAACTACCCACAATCAAGCCAAAAAAAATGAACAAAACCTTTAAAAGAATGCAACCATGATTAAATATCACGCAAATTGCAAGAAAGTGAATGTGACTGAAAGAAAATGTTCCGCGTCGTTGCCAATACGATACGCGACAACTAACCTAGTTGATCAAGAAACCGACTATGGCGACATCTGGCCCAGCGCGAACACATGGCGCCACGCATTGTTTCGTTTGTAAAATCAATTTGTATCGCTTCTAGATACGACCAAAACCATTAACTGCCCTTGTTCGAGTCAACGCGGCCGGTAAATGCCGACTCGAATGGAATTGCGGATTGTATTGGCAGCGATGTGAGAATATTGGATCGCATTGAACCGTTGACCGCGGAAGCTGATTTGATGGACAGAAACGATTGTTCACGCTCTCAAAGACTGTATCTTACGATACATGAATTGTACGATTAAAATTTTACTAAATTCGACAATTTTCTTTTTATTTAATTAATTTTTTACTCATATAATTTTTATCATTATTTAAAAATTTGTAGAATTTGTCGATATGTATTCTCTCACCCGATCTTTTTTCTCTTAAATAATTCGAAGTGATACGTAATTAAATTTTTTTTATTGTTAATTGTTATATCGATCATAATATGATTTGAAAGGATTTTAGATCAGCATTTCGCGGTTCAACGGATCAACGATACGATCCAATTTCAAAAGACTTCGATATATTTTTGATTTGTAACAGTCGAGTTGCGGTGATGCGAGGCCAAGTTGTAACCGAACAAGGAATTGGAATAGTAGGCATCAGGGTATCCGTGGACAGAGACCCCCGCTTTGGATTCACATTAACTAGAGCTGATGGATGGTGAGTTGATTTTATGATTTTACTGTATATCATTTTGAATATGATACGTGAATAAAAATAGAAACTATAGATGAAATTATCCTGATATACGTATATCCATTTAAAATGCGAATTTATTTTCTTTGATACAATCATAATCATAAACTGAAATAAATATCCTCTTTTTCTCTTAAGAAAACAAAAACGTGTACAAACACTCGTATCAATGATAAACACATAAACATATGGTGTGATATTAGTATTTGTCCTTGATGAATGTGTATGCCAGCTTGGACGCCCTTCGTAATAGGATCAAGGATGCATTGTAATGAAGGTTGTGGGAGATCTGGTAGGGGTGTGGGGAGATGATGAAACACCTATATCAAACAGGTATATAGTAATCCTGGCGAGGATAATCCTGAAACACGGAGCCGGAGGAGTTGGCCCTGTAAACCACATCAAAGCTCGAGCTAATGATGTCGAAAGCTTCCTAATTACTCCGTGCAAACCTGCGTGATTAGTCTGACCTATGTCTATCCCTTCTTCCCTCTTTTGTCGGATCACCAGCAAAATTTTACCATAATATACTGAATTGCAAACGTGAGAGAGAATATGCATATATTGGTATATAAGCTCACGATAACATTTCCGTTTCTATATATATATATATATATATATATTTCCTATTTTTGTTTCATTTTCATTCTCTATCTCTCTCTCTCTCGCATTCGTTTCACATAATCCCAAACGGAAGTTTGAGATAGAACTCTCTCGTTGTATTCACGGGTTAATGAATACGGGGCCATGATAGATTGGCAGTTATTGCGGCCAGATTCCCTGATAAATACGCGATTTGTCACTGTTTGATTGCGAATACGGCTTATATTGTATCCTATTCGTGAAACGGTTCCACGATTCATGTGTTTGTAACGCGACAAGAAACTTTCAAATCGGATTTCAAACATGTCCAGGCAAAAGTTTCTGGGGACTGGACCTTACGGCTTAGTTCAATTTGTCGCCTGTTGATGTCGCTACGTGACAAGAACGCACGATAAAATGAAAGAGAGAATTGTGAGGATGCGTAGGGAACTATTTATTGGAATGTTTCCTTGAAATTGAATAACGATGTATTTGTATAATTCGAATTTTTCGTAATTTTTTTAAATTTTAATTTAATAGGTGAGATTTTTCAATAGCGATAAAGAACATTTTGAAATTAATCTTTATGCAATATATAATTAAAAATATTAATGTCAATTTTTGAACACATTTATAAAAAATTTTATATCAAGAATCATAATTTTTTGCAATTGAAATTTTTAAATGATTAAGAAAATCAAATAAATACATATCTTTTATCGATTGACCGTAATTTATTATTACTATTATTATTAATTAATTATTAATTTATAATTTATTATAATATTGAAAACTATAATTTGAAATATATTTTCGTATTTTGACCAGGTTCGATGTGTTAGTGAACGGTGGTGGTGCGGTGACGCTTCAATTTCAACGTAGCCCCTTTAAACCCCTCACGAGGACGGTGTTCGTGCCATGGAATCAAATAGTGGTCCTGCCACCTGTAGTGATGACTCTCAACGAGGAAGACGAATCTCCTAAATCCAACCAACCACCCAGTCCAGCTGTTGGTAAGTACGAATTCTTTATTATTATTATTATCTTTTTTTAAGTTTTTTGTCTTTTTTCACATTTTATCGTGTTGCGAAATCAATTGAAATTAAAATAAACAATGGTCCAATATGTTTCACATTTAAAACATTGAATAACTATTTTGTTTTTCATTTTTCATTTTTTTTATTTTATTTTTTTATTTATTTTTTAATTTCTATTTTTTATTTTGGATAAAATATATGTTAATTGTTTATTGCTTCATCATTGTCTTTCAACATGCAAAGAGGAATTCATAAAGGACCCATTGCTGATCATGTGTGCCGTCTTTGTTCCGTCCTTAAGTGTTTTATGTTTTTAAGTTCCTTATCATTTATGGCATACAATATAATAGGCTTCCCAGGGATATCGATGGGACTATTTAGCGAGCACGGTCCATGCTTGGAGCATGATCACGAATTACTGAGGCCAATCATCGTCAGTACTTGGATGCCAGAGAAGGTGGGAGGTCTTCCGGGCAAAAGTTTGGTATTCGCCGAAAGTCAGGTATATATTTTTCTTTTTCATAAAATTTCTATTAATTTTTTATCATATCGAAACCATTATTGAAATTAAATTTCTGAATCTTTCTTTGTTTCTTTTTTCTTGCAGATCGTCCAAGAAAGCATTGCCATTCCAGGCTCGAATTTGCATTTGATGTATCAGAGTAGCCAGGCGGCCGGCTATTTATCGACTGTTAGAATGCAATTGACTGGACCGTTCATCCCAAAGTCACTGACACACGTGCACGTGCACGTTGAAATTGAGGGGTCATTGCACGCGAAGACCTATGAAGCAGACCCAAATTTGACGCACACGTTTGCTTGGAACAAGAGGAACGTTTACAAACAGAAGGTGTACGGTGTGGCACAGGCAAGGATCTCAATAGGCTATCAACACTCCACTTGTCCAGCGGTGATTTGGGAAACGCAGACAGCCATGTTGCAAGGTTTCGACGTCGATATTTCGGATATTGGAGGCTGGGGATTGGACATTCACCATCACTACAACTTCCACGAAGGAATACTTCAGAAAGGAGATGGTACCACTTTGCATTTCAAGCAGTATCCTCGCACGGTAAAAGTGGTGATGGGCACTGGACTGCAAAGAAGCTTGGTGTGTCAAGATTGCGATGGTTTGGCTAAAGACGTTAGGTTATTAACACCAGTGGCGCTCACTAGTGGCCCAGATGGAAGCATCTATGTTGGCGATTTCAATCTGGTACGCAGGATTACACCTGAAGGGGAAGTATACACTGTTTTGACACTAAGGTGAGTTAGAAGCCATATTGAAATATGGAATATAAAGATAGTTTATCTAATTATAAATGTTTTAGTTTGTACATATACATATAAATTTAGATTTCTGAATAATGAGAAACATATATTTTCAGTGCAACTCAAGTGGCTTATGCTTATTATCTCTGCGTTTCCCCTGCGGATGGCCATTTATACATCAGTGATCCTGAAAAACATCAAATATTGAGAGCTTTGTCTCTAAAAGATGTGGAACATCCCAGTATCAACATCGAGCCTATAGTTGGAAGTGGAGAAAGATGTATTCCTGGTGACGAAAGTCATTGTGGCGATGAAGGACCAGCTATTCGCGCCAAATTGGCTCATCCAAAAGGTACATTTTCATATAATTTAATAAACTAATTCCTTAACATTATATTATCACTGTTATTTACTTTGTATTAACAGGAATCGCCATTGCCGCCGATAAGACTATGTACATCGCCGATGGAAGAAATATACGCGCTGTAGATCCTCATGGAATTATTCACACATTAGTTGGACACCACGGACACCACAATCACTGGTCCCCAGCTCCATGCGTCGGTGCTATACCTGCTCATCAAGCCCAATTACAATGGCCAACTGGATTGACCTTAAGCCCTCTGGATGGATCTCTTCATTTCATCGATGACAGGCTCGTTTTGAAACTTACAAGCGATTTAAAAGTTCGCGTAGTAGCTGGAACGCCGCTCCATTGCACCAGTAACACCAATAGCAATGGAAACAGCAACGACAATGATCTAAAAAAAGTAAATTCGACGACAACCACGAGTCAAAAGAAGTCTGATGAAGTACTCGGTTCTGTACTTGCCGTTAGTTTCAGTCCAACTGGTGAACTGTACATAGCAGAAAGCGATTCACACAGAGTGAATTCTATCAAAATTGTAGATAGCTCTGGGAAAATGTCTCATTTTGCTGGACAGCAACAAGAAAGATTGCGTGGTCAGTGTGAATGTAATAATACTACTCCAAGCAGTAAAGATCTGGAAAGTTGCGCATGCACTGATGACACCAGTAGTACAGAAACTTTGTTGTCATCGAATGCCAAATTCACAGCCATTTCTGCTCTGGCTGTGTCACCAGATGGCGTCCTTCACGTGGCTGATCAAGGTAGTCTGCACATTTTAGCTCTGCAACCCTATCTTCCAAATCATGATGAAAGTGGGGAATTCCATATTCCTTTCCCACCATCGAACGAGGTATACGTATTCAATCGTTACGGTCAACACATCTCCACGAAGGATTTAACATCTGGCAAGACTCGTTATTCGTTCTTGTATAGCAAAAACACAAGCTTTGGAAAATTATCAACCGTGACGGATAGTGCTGGAAATAAGATTCAATTCTTGAGGGATTACAGCAGTGTGGTCAGTTCTATAGAGAATACACAAGATCATAAATCTGAATTAAAGATTTCCGCAGTTGGCTTCTTGGAAAAACTCTCTGAACGAGGAAGAGCTGAAATTGCACTTGCCTATGATGGTTCAACTGGATTACTGACAAGCAGATCAGGGGGTGGTGAAACGTACATCTACAATTATGATAACTTGGGTCGTGTTACTGATGTCATTCTACCTACTGGTGAAAAATTGAAGCTATTCTCTGATCTATCCGACGACGAAGGTCTACTGGTCAAAGTGTCAGCCCCTCTTCAAGCTTTGTCAAAGGGAGACAAGCAGAGGATCGTAGAATTTAAAATGAAAAATGAGAGATCAAAGATGTTAACGATTATCGATGGCACCAAAATCAAGAGAGCGATCGCTTTCACTAATAGCAGTTTAGAGGTTCTCCTTCCAGGTGGTGGTAGAGTGCTAAGCGCAGCTACTACAAAACATCCTCTTCTAGAGGCTGCATTACCAGTCGAGGCTGAAATGTTGCCAATGTGGAGTTATCAGTTGATGTCTCTTGGTGAATTAACCAACACTATGACAACCACGTACAACCTAGTCGGCGATGTTAGCCACTTTCAACAGACATTAAACAGAGAGATTTGGGTGAACGATACACGCGTTATTGGGGTAGAATTCGAACAAGCTTTCAGGCGAGAAACTTTCTACGATAAAGCTAGAAATCCACTGCTCACTGTTACCTTCGATCCTGCTGGCTTACCCCTGACTTGGCAACCGCATGAACAAGGTTACAATCTCACAATCACGTATGATAGATTCAATCGAATAGAAAGTTGGAAGTGGGGCCCATCCGATGAATCTTACGGATACGATCGCCATGGACAATTATCAGAGGTCACTAGTAGTCAGGATGGAACTAAACGATATACCTACAATGATTTCAATGTGTTATCCAACATTACTCTGGCCAGCGACAGACATTTCACTTTACAATATGACGATGATGGTGGACTACGTCACATCATCCTCCCATCAGGAACTAAACACTCGTTCTCGTGTCAAACTTCTCTAGGTTTTCTCAGAGTGACCTACACTCCACCGGGCAGCAGCAGAGCCTACCTCCAACACTACAGTCACGACGGAAACTTGTTACAAACTGTGTTCCCTGGTGACGGAGCTCGTATCGTGTACAGGTACCACACTTCAGGACAACTTGCTGAAGTCGTTCACGGTGATGGAAAGAGTGAAATTAGATATACAGAAAGCGGTTTGCCTTCGGAAGTGATTCATTCTGAAAAAGACGTAGAGTACAAATGGGATTATCAATATAGCGCCGGTCTATTGGTGGAAGAACGCATAGATTTCGGTGCAAAGACTGGACTTAGCAATGCAAAGTTTACGTTCGACTATGATTCAAACTTCAGATTGGTAAATGTTCAAGGTAGAATCGGTGGTCAGACTCTTCCAACTCACACTATAGCATACAGTCCCAAAACAGGTATGCTGGAACAAATTGGACAATTCAAAGTAACTAGACCTCAGCCCAACGAGACCACCGTGTTCGATGGAACTGCACTGTTCTCGAGAATTACGGATGACAGATTTTTAGAGACACAAGTGACATTGACAATTCATCAATTAGAGGTTTTCAGAATGGAATTTACACATGATACTCGTGGTCGTATTAATCAGACTAGGACTTATACACGCAACGTTGCTGTCAATACTTATACCAACGTGAAAAATTACACCTGGGATTGTGACGGCCAATTGACCGGGGTCGAAGCTCAAGAGCCATGGGGATTTAAATACGATGCGAATGGGAACATGTTGTCATTGACGTATCGTGGGAACACTATACCTATGGAATACAACAGTATGGATAGGATTGTGAAATTCGGTGAAGGATTGTATAAATATGACAACAGAGGTTTGGTGGTGCAAAATGCTAGAGAAGAAAGATTTAACTATAATGCTAAAGGGCTTTTGGTTCGTGCTACCAAACGTGGACGCTTTGATGTTCGTTATTATTACGATCATCTGGATCGTTTGGCTACGAGAAAGGATAATTATGGAAACGTCACTCAGTTCTTTTATAACAACCAAAAACGTCCTCACGAAGTAAGTCAAATTTACAGTCCAAGGGATGGAAAATTAATGTCGTTAGTGTACGACGATAGAGGACATTTGATTTATGCTCAAGTTTATCGGCACAAATATTATATCGCCACTGATCAGTGTGGAACTCCAATCATGATTTTCAGCCAATATGGCGAAGGTATCAGAGAAATTATGAGATCGCCTTATGGACATATTGTTTACGACTCGAATCCTTATTTATATCTGCCTGTTGATTTTTGCGGAGGTTTGCTAGATCAGGTGAATTAAATTTAATCATAATGACGTTGTTAATTATAATTTTGATTGGTATGTTCGTTTCTTTAAATTCTTTTTTTTTTTTTTAATTTAGGTAACGTCATTAGTGCATATGCCAAACGGTAAAGTTTATGATCCACTGATAGGTCAATGGATGTCTCCCTTGTGGGAAAATGTTCTCGATAGAGTAGACACACCAACACATCTGCATTTATATAGATTCAATGGGAATGATCCTATTGATGTTAGGCACACGGACCGACCAAATCAACCAACTGGTAAGTTTTATTAGCAAATAATTAAAATATCTTCGTTAAAAATAATAAATTACTAAATTAATTTACATTCATATTAATAATACTTATACGATTAACAAATTAACAATTAATTAAAATACGAATATCAATAAATACTATTTAATTTTATTTTATTTAAAATTTTATTTAAAATTTTTTGTTTAAAAAAAGTATAAGTATTTGACTATTTACTTATTGCATCTTATTTTCAGATCACATATCATGGATGTCGCTTCTTGGATACGATTTGAAGACTCTCGCACCTCAACTTTTCCCCGACGAACTGCCAGATAGCCTCGTCCCTCCAGCTTTGAGTCCAGGCACTTCCATATTTGGAAAGAAGAAAAGAACCAGGAACCTCGGTGTTCAATCGGGATTTCTAGCCTATATCGCACAAAGGCATTCCGGAGATGCCGTCAGTTTGTCAGCACCGCCTCGTTCAGCCCTTAAAAAGGACACCAGCGACTTGATACCCAGCCGTTTGGGTGCAGCCTCGGATCCTCCATTTGGAAAAGGAATTTTAGTATCGAGGACTGCGGATGGTCAAGCAGTAGTGTCCAGCGTGCCAACCGCGAACGCCATCTATGGCGATGTGTTCACATCGGTATTTAACCGTTCGTACTTTCTACCTTTCACGTTTGTGGTGCACAGTGCGCAACAGGACGCATTTTATTTCGTGAAGGAAGAAACGTGGCGAGCTAGTGAAGATCGTGGTCAGTTGAAACGTTTAGGTGGCCAAGTCAATACAACATTTCACGAAAACGAAAACGGAAGTGGAAGTAGTTCATTGATAGACGTGAAGATCCACGGCTCCAGTTATATTGTGAATTTGCGTTACGGCACGACTGCCGAGAAAGAGAAACAAAGACTGCTCCATCACGCCAAGGCGACAGCTATTCGCAAAGCCTGGCACAGGGAACGTGAGGCGCTAAAAGCCAACACGCCAACGGCTATCGAATGGATGGTGGCCGAGCAAGACGAGATTCTGAAATCTGGATCCGCGTCGAATTACGAGGGTGAATACATCCACGATGCACAGTTGTATCCAGAACTCGCGGAAGACCCGTACAACATCCGATTTACAAAGAAGGCTGTGGATCCGTCTAGCAAAAAACGGCGTAGGAGGAGAGGTGCCCCCACTTGTAAACTTTGGTGGTTGGACAAAATCTGCTAATCTCATTAGGTTACCGTTCTAAACCAGGGAGTCCTCCTCTCCCTAATACATTCTGTTCTGCCGGGAGAATTGTCCAATCGTTGAAGGAATTTCCAAACGAACGACTGAACGAATAAGAAGAGGTTGGAAAAAAAAAAGAAAGAAAGAAAGAAATAAGATTGAGCCGCAGCAAGTCGGCAGTCCTTCGTATGGAACACTACCGAACACTATCAAAAGAAACAAAAAAAAAAAAAAAAAAAAGTTTTATACCAAAGTCTATTTGTGTATTTCGAAGATGCCAAAAACATTTAACGTTATATCGATTATATATTGTATCGCGATTTAGGGTGTAGTGTGTAAGCATCTCGGAGAAAATTTTTGCCTCCGGCGCACGACCGTATTGCCATAACTCGCGACTCTTGCGGACTGATATAGTATATTATCATCGTCGGCCATATTAGGGAAATTCGTTATTAATTCGTTAGGAAGCCTTTCGTTCTTGCAACGGAGTTAGAAAGAAAACGACGGAAGAGGTCGTCACCATTTCGTTGTTTCCTTCTTCGCGAGATAAGAAAGACTTCCTTAACGAAGACGATCGTGGAATCGCGAATATTATGCGCGTTCACTATCGTTAACTCGAAACGAATCACTACGAATCGTTGGATGAGAGAAAAATGACGAAAAACGAAGGCAGAAAGCAGAAGGCCATTCGTCGTTCGAGCGAATCGAGTGAGAGAAACTAGTCAATATATAGCTTTACATTGACATATAAACTTTTTCCAATAAGATAAGCATACGAAGCGCGATCGTCGATTTATCACGCGAAGAAATAAACTTTGCGTATCCATCTATCTGTCTACACACGCGATACCTTAGTTGGTACTTAGGTAATGAAAAAAAAAATAAAATAAAATAAAATAGAAAAAATTAACGAAAAAGACGATTCTGTCGAGATAAGATACATACGACGAACATAACCTATGTACGGATCGCAAAATAAAAGTGGAAGGAACATGCGCACGTGTATTCTCGACAATGAATGGCCCTGTAAAATGCTGAGGAAAATCAAGTAAAAGAAGTCCGTCGCTATGCATAACGATTGATCAGCGTCCAAAGTGTCGATGAAACATTGCAAGAACGCGAGATAATGGCGAAGTAAGTGGTTCGATCGAGACAGGTGATTAACGTAACGCACGTTTCGAATCGATATTCCGAATTTAGATGGTCGATGGGGCAAAAAAAAAAGAAAAAAAAGAAAAAGGAGAAAATGGCGATGTGTTTAAGGTGTATTATAAAAGTGGTGCTTTTCCATGCAAAGAAAGAAATTAAATCGGTGCAACAATTCGACAATGAGCGTGACTAATTAAAAGAATGTCGATGTACACGACACACGATTCACACACACACGTACACTGCATAGCGTGGCTAAGGTATTTTTAACGATGGATGTATCCTACCCACTTCCCCTACTTAGCGCTAGCGACCATTTCCTCGAGAATTGATGTCGCGTCGCGTATGATTTGTTGTTCAAAAGGGAGAGAGAGAGAGAGAGAGAGAAAGAGAGAAAGAGAGAGAGAGAAAGAGAGAGAGAGAATTATCATCGTGAACGAATGATCAATAAAAATACAATAAAATAAAGATCTATCGTCGTTTCGTTTTCTGCAATTAGAATGAATTGAGCAGAAGGAAATGTCGGGAGTTCCAATTAATATCAGTCTGTTTAAATTATAATTGAAAATGAAAGAAAGTGTGAAAATGTGGAAAATGTGTGTGGGAGAGAAAGAGAAAGTGAGATAGACAGAGGATAAACTCCATTATCGGTAATAATACGTATACATGAGATATTATTGCATATTTGTGCTTGCTGGATACGAATAATGGAACGTTAACTATGTTTCTTCGCCGAGTACTAAGTGTGTATATCTAAATTTAATGCTCGACAGCATCGATCGATTTTATGTTGTATACTGAACGCCATATAGGTACATCTATGTAAAAATATTATTTAGCACCAATTTCCGCTAAAATCCTTACCTTTAAAACAATTGCCCTTGATTAGCAACTTACTGCCTGCTCCACATGTATAGCGTCCGAATTTATCTGAGCCCCGCCCTTTTTATCCCCACTCCGTCCTTTCTTAAGTCACGTGTCACGATTCTTTGTTCCGTTCCAACTGTATCTAAATCTTTTCCGCAGTTCTTTTTCTCGATCTCTTCGATCTTGCAATTTGTCCCAGTTTCTTTGAACATTTATCATCAAATATTTTATGGATATGGCTTTAGACGGCGCCGTTCTTAAAATGGATATAGATAGGACATTATCGTCTGAATAAATGAGAAAACGATTAAAAAAAACATTTTAAAAAAAAAATTTCCTTACACGCTGAATGTATAAACAAAGACAAAAAAAAAAAAAATACAAAATATATAAATATATAAAACAAAGAGAAAGAGAAAAAAGAAAAAAGAGATTATATAGGAAAGCTTCGTAACATATTTTTGACTCGAGCAAGTATTTAGAGCTGCATTGAAACACCAAAAATTCTTCAAACTCTGTGGTCCAAACGAGCTCTCGTGTCTTAATGAGATTAAAATTGAATATCTTCTTTCAATTTTCTTTTTTTTTTTTTCTATGCGTGTAATTTTTTAAATATGTTAAAAAAAATATTTTTGCGCGTTCGATATTGTACATAACCTATAATTACCGTTTTTTATATCTTCCTTCAATTTTCCTCCGACCATATAGCGGAAGGATCAATTATATTCACACGATAATGGACCCTGAGATAATTGGTGATCGAACTACAGCTTGTATTTTGTGGATTTTTAAAAATTCCACACTTGATCCTTGTCCCTACCCTTCCGATTCCCTCCACCCCAATTCATTCGTATAATCTATATATACCGTGTATAATCGTTGAATCGGCAATGGCGTTCAAAAAATTAACTATTTTTCAAAATGACTGAAGAAGTAGAAGTATCGAGTGTCAAATTATTAAAACGGATTAGGTCGACGCAAGTTGATCGGCGTTTCAAAAGGCGGATTCAACGTGCAGGGTCGCGAGAACTCAATTAAAAAACTGTTCGAGTATCTGAAATTAGTATCAAAAAAGTGAAAAAGAAAAAAAAAAGAAATATGAAATGAAATGAAAAAAAGAAAAAAAAAAAAAACAAGTGAACAGATTCGCTCTCTTAACTTCCGTGAAGTTTCGTCTCGTTTCACTAAAAAAGACTTTCTATAAGAGAAAAAAAGAAAAAAAAAAAAAAAAAAAAAAAAAACAAGTGAACAGATTCGCTCTCTTAACTTCCGTGAAGTTTCGTCTCGTTTCACTAAAAAAGACTTTCTATAAGAGAAAAAAAAAAAAAAAAAAAAAAAAAAAGAAAAGATAAATGAATATGTACTCCAAAGTTTTCGACTGCGGAGTTAACGCGCGAGCATATTTATAAATACGAGTATAAATATAAATATATAAATATACATATAAAAATATATATATATATATATATATAAATATAAATACTTCTGGAATTAACGGGGTAGAAAAAGCTCGAACGAAATATGATCGTCATCATTATTATTATTATCGCATTAATTATCACTACGATGCAAAGACAGAGATTGTAATGGGAAATGATCGCAAAATGTCTTTATTAAATAGTTATGGCCGAGCTAGCTGAATCCGTCGGACCACATGAGGTGTACTCGATTCTCACAAAGTGAACTTCGTCCTTGGATTATATTAAAAATGACGAAGTCAGGAAGAGTACAGAAATTTGAGTATATGAAATGATTTCATTCGAGAGAGAGAGAGAGAGAGAGAGAGAGAAGAATGAAAGAAAAATTGGAGAGAATGTATGCGTGAAAGAAACGTATGCGAGAAAGATGGAGAATGAATGCGCAATCAGTCATGCTACAGCTACTACGACCACTACCCTAAGTAGATTATGCTACTTCGCCGCTGATCTAATTGTTTACTGTCACGTGTTGCTGTAAACCTAAACTAACGATACGATATATTTTATTTATATAATCTAATCGACTGTATTTATTGTAAATAGTCACGATGTTTGCTATGATATAATATATCTGTAATTGGATGGAACTTGCCTGGAAATTGCGCCCACAGCCCTGTCCTCTGATCAATGTCTCTCTATACATGTACACACACATACCCAAACACATCAGGACCGGTGCATGTGTCTCAACACATGTACACGTAACACATATGCGGATACAGAAGTATGTAAGTAGGTATTATATGTATATGTATACAGTAATACCTGGTTAAACGTCCGTCAATCGAATTCATGAGGAATGGAATCTGTATCAATTTATTAAAATTTATTCCAGAGTTTATATAAAAAAATTATAAATTTCAAAAGAAATTTCAAATAATATGAAATAAATAATTACTTAATTATGTAAGTGATATAAGATAGAGTTTATTTTAATTATGTAATTTTAAATATTATATTGAAATACCTATTTATAAGAGAAGTAATGATGATATTGAATTCTTATATTCTTCAATTCATTTTTTCATTGCTTAGTCCAAAGAAATAAGTATTAAGCTGAAGAATTTAGATTTGATAATCTGTCGATAATCTGAGAAATTATTACTTTTTGCAATTTAATTAATAAAAAAGAATATAAAGAATATAATTTTTATGAAAAAAACAGGACAGTTATCCAGGGATTACTGTACATGGTTATGATAAGAGATAATTCGTGGGTTAAAAAAAATAAGAGGTGCAAAGCACACGTGCTGCTCGCGTAACCCATGACGATGGGAGAGACAAAGACAAAAGATATACTCTGTATCGCGTTCGACGAATTATTACGATGTCAATATTTCGCGTCGCATAATATAACGGCGAGATTATTCTCGTTATAACTTTGCCTACTGTTATTAATATTACGATCAATTTCGTGAATTTCGGTAAATTCGGCGTGCAATACAAAAAAAAAAAAAGCCCATTTTCGAGGATGAAAGCGAACGATGGTCAGACAATTTTTATAAACGTATTATATTCATCCGTATCGCGCGATGAAAAAAAATTTTTCAACGACTGCCATCTCGAACTGCCATCCATCGATCGATGGTTCCATTTATTAGAGAGAGACAAAGAAAGAAAAGAAATTTTTTTCGAAACAAATTCCGTTGTCGTACACGTGTGTCGCGAAAACCCAACCAGCATGTCCAGTAACAATTACAATATTACTATCATAAGTACAATATATTAAGTGTTTTCAGAAAATATATGATCTATATATGATAATAAAAGCGGGAAAACGTTTTATAGTTTGTTATTCTCTCATCTACAGTACATTGATCCTCGTTCACCTTCGTCTCATTCCGAATAAAATATAGTTTTGCGTGTGTTCTGATGTTTTTGATTTAGAACTTCAGTCTTCTTTCTTCATTTTAGCAAGTATACAGAGCGCGAGAAGAAAACTCATTAACTGAAATGAAAAGTCAATTGAATGTTTTTGAACTGTCTATATTCGCAATGAGGAATCGTTCGACTCACTGTAGTTATAAAAATCAACAGCACGGACATACTAATCGTGTGCATATGAGACTTGAGTAATAACACAGCGTTTTTCAGGCATCCTGATTTATAAGATACCGCTTCCGTCATTTGTAAACACTATAAACAATTTTTTTTTTTTGTAAATTTAATAAGAGAAAGAAAAGTAAAAATATCAAATTTTGTTTTAAGCTTAAAGTTGTTTAAAGTTAAATGATTCTTATCAAACAGTAAATAATATATTGATGTAAAAATTTGGACATGTGGATAACTATTACGCAAAATTCGTAATTCGTATATTAATATGGAAAGATTAATATTATAATTATTAGAAATGTTTCATGGCTGATACATGATATTTTATGTTAAAACGCATTAAGAGACATTCTACAATAAGTCAAGGGTATGTAAAGTCAATTCATATAATTCAAAAATATATAATTTATATTAATTTGTGGAAAAACAAAAAAATTTTTCAATAATTATTATCAATAATGATATAAGATAGTTTGAAGTTTATCTGACTACTTTTTATGACCTTTAATAATTAAGTATGATAAATCATTTAAGTTTTGCAAATATAGGAGGAAAATATATATTATTAGCACAATATTAAAAAATTTATTTGATTAAATATTTTCTTAATATCTTTCAATTTTAAAATCAATTGTATATATTACGGGTCATATTCATATCAGATATTTCATATGAAAATCAATATTAATGTATGTATTCAAGGAATTATTTATAAACAAAAAAAAATTACTTCTTCGATAGATCCAAGACAACAACTCTTCGGAATATCAACACGATATTTGGTCCAGTCCTTTGCGGATTTTATTCCACAACACTTTAACTAAAATATAATTTTTTTAAGAACTAATTTTTAAAACAAGAAAGCCCAGTTAAAATCTTTCAGAGACATCTTGAGGTAAGTATAAGAAACTGATCTTACATATCTGTGGGTATTGTCCCAAGCTTCTCTACTCAAGGATGAGGAATGATAGTTTTCGATGGCGGCGCTCATGTCGTCCTGAATTCTTTTGGTAATTTTTTCGAAAATCCAAAAACTCATTATGGCGCTGATAAATATAATGCATAGAAATATCGAATAACAAATACCATACTGTAATAAAATAACTCTTTAAGTCTCTTTTTTTAATTAAATAACATTTAATATATTAAATGTATCGGAAGGAAAGAACATATAACAAGCTTATAATTATTAATTTATTATCAAAACCTACAATGTTCAAAAATTTTCTTCTTCTTCGAAGTAAACCAAGAATTCCCAATAATGATACTAATGAAGCAATTAAACTTATAAATAATAATATTGTAATAAAAAAGTGTTGATCTATCAATCTTAACATTATTCTACTATCTGTGAAAATCCATGTAGAGGTTACAATGCCAACAATACCTGCAAGCTTTAATTAATTTATATAAAATTATGTGAGAATTATTTAAATAAATATATAAAAATCAATAAAAATATTCTCTCAAGGATATTTACTTTTACATAATCAATTCTATTCAAAAATTCTAAAAAATATTAAATTAAAATTATTGTAATAAACGATTTCTTAAAATTATATTTACGCAATTCATAAATTAAGTAAAAAAATATTTAATACAAATTCATTTATCAATATATTAAAAATTTACTATTAATTATATTATAATAATCTATTTACTTACAAATGTTACAATATTAATTATCAAAAAAGTCACTTGAATAAATCGTTGCAATAAGCCATTATGCGAAAATTTTTGAAAATGTGTTCCTAGAAAATGTGAATATTTATCGGTAGATCCAGTTACATTACTATCAGTGACGTCCTTATCATCATCCGTTTCTGTTTCATTTTCATTTTCATTATTTCTCTGGTCTGATGTACGGGAAAAAAATTTATTCCAGTTCATTGATACGGTATAATCAGAATGTAGTTAAAATAAGTGAATAAAAATTACTAAGAAATGATAACAATTTGTTATTTTAATTTGTTATTTAAATATTAAAATTAAAATTACATTTTAATATATTATTAATAAACTAAGTTACAATTATACTTAATCAAATTACATTATTGTATTTATATTACTATTTATTTTATGATATAATAAAATAATTTATTTTATGGATATTCTTTTTAATATTTATATATAAATGTATTATGTGCAATTTTATTTATTTCGAATATTTTTACTAGAATATTTAAAATTTTTTAATAGTTATTTTTTTTTAATAATAAATGTGATTTTTT